ATAGATGTCCTGTCCAAACCAACATTGTTTTCATTAACAGCCAAAAGTATGTCGTTGCTGATGTCTATAATGGCGCCATTAGTTACATCTTTAATTTCGTCTTCAACACATGCAGCGGATGATACACGTTACAAACGTACGGCATATCGTGCACGTGTGAACACATACACCAAGGGTGCCTGTTATAGCCCGATCAGACCGGTGCAGCTGCTGCTGTTAGCGAGTATCTATTAAGGGCAGCGTGCCTACTCGAGGGGTTGGTGGGGTCAACGTCACGCGCCGCTGCCCTTGTCTCCCCGAGCGCCCATGTTGACACACTGAACTGGGTAATCATTTTTAGGCTGTGTAACCTTTGAGAAGACCCATGCCAAGTACAGACACCAATTTCCACTTAAGTGCATGACCAGGAATTGCACCGGAGTCACTGGGTTGCCTATGTAATTGCCTTACCGGTACACCATTGCTCCCAATACGCAGAGAGCCGGTCGAGTGGTGTACAGACTGCTGGGAGAAGCACCGTTAGTGAGGGCCTATGAATGCTGATATTGTACACAAGAGAGTACTGTGGTCAAAACTAAACTACATTTGTCTCCCCAGAGCTCATGATGAAGCACCGCACCAAGTACTGTACTTGTTTTAAAGCTGAGTAAACCCGTGGTTCTGATCACAAATGCTATTGCTTTTGTGCGTGGCTAGTCGTGGTGTTGAATCCAGGTGGCTGATATTGTGGAGCACTTGATTTTGAGCATTTGATTATTTTGTGCTCACACACAGCCCTTATAGCCTGTAACCGACTTTTGGTGCAAGTGTTGTCAGCGAATACCCATACCTGTAAACCCATACAGTTTACCCGTATTCTTGTTCAGGGAAATTGAACATTCTTTTTGTCTATTTGTTTGTATTTCTCCCTTGTGATGGAGCTTTGTAGGATGAACATTTTAGATTTCTAAGGGCTCGGGGTGACCAATAAGGTCTGAATTTGTCTGTAATAAGGTAGGCACTGATAAGGGATTGACAAGTATGAGTACCTATAAAGATCGGCACAGCACACAAGGAGGTGGGTGGCCAACACCATGCCTGGCCGCCTTTGTCTCCCCAGGGGCAATGTTTACACACCCCCATCAGGTATTCATTTGAGGCTGAGTAAACCTAGGGGAGGTCCAAGACCGGTTCAGATAATTGTCACTGCCAATGGCCATGAGCGGGAATCTAACTCGGGTCCCCGGATTCGTAGCGCAGCGAGTGCTAACCGCTACACGTACACACACACAGGTATGCGCACGCACGCGCAGCACAGCAACGTGCTTGGGAGACAAATAGCAAGCACGGGCTTCCGCACAACACACTTGACCATCGTCCGTACCCCAGGTATGGTGGGCACACACACGTCCTTGAGTGACCTTGTTTACAAAGAGCGAGCGACCAGATGCTCCGTGCAGGAGCTGCAGATGGTCACAGCATCTCATTAACCTGACTACACAGGCGGGCTTTGATGAGTAACGTACATCGCCCGGCTTATAATGTGTCGCTTGTTATAGATGAGCAGGTGTGGTGTGCCTCGGTCGAGAAGGAAAAATGACCGGCGTCACATCGTTCGCGTTGCACGTGGAACCACGTTCGTTGTTATCTGTGCGACGGCAGCATGGAACGTAAAAACTGTACGGAGACACTCTTAATCAGAAGAGTTCAAATGTGCAAAAAAATTGTTATTAATTAACCAAAGTAAATGTCTTTTTTTGGTGTGTAATATTTCAAACGTCGTATTTTGTGAATGGGAGGACTGTGGGTGTACAATGTGCAGCACATGTATTTAAAAGTAGTTCCTATACATTCGGCAGCGGAAGAAAACCTCTTAAGTATGCTGCCCATGTTAATGCGACCACTGATGTATTGTGTGCCGACAATGTCCACAATTAGCTTGGGTCACGCTCCGCTAATCCTCATAATGCCGAGCCTGCCAATATGCCGCCAAACCGGAGCAGGACATCTTTCATTCATTCATTTGCCGATTTCTTTTTTTTTTAAACCAAGGATTTATTCATACGTCTATTCATTCAGTAAGGGATCCGCCCGTTCATTTACTGATGGGCAAGACACTACACTAGCGCCATTTGTCCTCCTCCTGCCCGTCGTGCGTTCATGCGAATGCGCGGCAGCAGGCGCCGACATGCCCCTCCTTGCCGCACTGGAAATGCGCCGCCAATAGTCGGCAACATTTCCCATTTGAGCAGCCTCTGCCAAGAACAATCACGCAGTTTTGCATTTGATGCATTCACTTGGAGTCGTCCGTGATAACATACCTTATACTCTTAGGTTTTTCGGTAAAGTCACGTAGGTAAAATAACAACAAATAATATAAATAATAATAGAAATAAAATAATAAATCACGACGTTTCGGAGGCAACACAAGTCTCCGTCATCAGGTGGGACCGTCAAAGCTAGATTTACTGATTTATTATTTTATTTCTATTATTATTTCTATTATTTGTTATTAAAAAAAATGTTTACCTACGTGACTTTACCGAAAAACCTAAGAGTATGAATCCTTGCTGTCACGAAAGCTTCAAATCTAGAAATAACATACCTTGTTGGGCCTTTCAATCGCATGACAAAACAATATCCTCCACAATGCACATATTACTTTATTTTACAAACACTGCTGGCAAGACATTTGCAATGTTTGTTTAATATAAAAATCGTGGATTTCATATATATATAAAAAGTGCGCTGTAAGTGTCAACTGTTTCTGCCCCAGGTTGTTTGGAAGTCTGCTGTGGTAAAATGCCAACATTTTGCCTTTACTAAAATTTTGCTCGGTTTCCTTTGTGCTTTTTTTATATTTATGTTTTGCCATTTCCAGCTGTCACACTCTCGTGTCTGTATATTGTACATGCAGTGTCTGCGAAAAGAGCAACATAATTTTAAAGCACACTTAAAACAGAGGTTTATAGTCGGACCTGCACAACAGGCCAGCGAATAGATGCGAAACACACGACTATTTTGTACACGGAATAGAGCAGTGGCACAATTAGTGGTGGATGCAGGGGGGTGGGGAGGAATGGAGGCGATTTCCACCCCCACCCACCCTCAAGAACCCGAAATTTAGCATTTTAAAGATATTTACCAAAGAAAAAACACTGATTATTTATTATTATAGTATAGAGCCATATTTAAAACGTTTGAAATTTCAGGTCCTTTTTTGTGGAGATACGAGATAAATGGCAAGGGGCGCCACGGTGGTGAGATGTTAACTACCTCACCTGGTATGCAGGAGGTCGTGGGTTCGATCCTGACCCTCACGTCTGTAAATTTGGAGTTTGCATGTTGTCCCCCCATGGTCGCGTGGAATTTTCTCTGGGTCCACTGGTTTTTGGCTGCTATAAATTTCCACTTGATAAGCCACTTCTCTGAGCTATATGTGGCCATACAGGTCGCTTCTGAAAAGGAGCTACATAGCTCAGTGGGCCTTACCTGGTAAAATATTTTTTTTAATGTGTTTAATAGTAGTAGGTTTTGACCCTTTTAAACTGGTACAAATCTGACACCTTTATTCAAGGCATCATGTTTGCAATGACCACAACACAAGTAGTCAAAAAAGCAAACAAAAAGAAGCAACTCTGATAATGATAATAATATGCACTGTCCTTGAAGTTGATTGGTCCACACCCGAGACGGCTTTCTTTAGAGCCTAGTCCCCATTGGTGTTGGACCAGATGACACTAGAAGGCGTACAACTCAAACACAGTGCAAACATGATGCCTTGAATAAAGGTGTCAGTTTTGTACCAGTTTAAAAGGGTAAAAACCTACTACTATATTTTGCCACTGGTAAAAGAGATCTCATGTGTTTATAGTTGTAACGATTCTGAGCGCAGTGGTTAGCACACTGCACTACGAGCCCTGGCACAGCTTGCAACAGTGACCAGTGGTATCAGATGTATTCCAGGGTCCCCATTCATGGGGAGGCCTTCATCCATCAGTGGATTGACAAAGGGCCGTTGCGATGCATTTAGCGTCACATTTTTGCAATGTGAATTTTTATTTACCGACATTAAATTCACGTGTACCCGCATCGTCGATCCGAGAAACAGCTCGTGGTGTCTTGCCTTGACCGCACCATTTCATGGCGATGACCCGTGTGCTTTTTTTCAAGGGATAACAACATATTCACGCACACACCGTGTATACTTACGTGCAGGACATGCACACGTACGTGGATAATTGTAGAAACTGCTTGTGGTTAAAACAAAGGGCATCCTGATGTCTACAGCCCGAAGGCCGCGGAGGATATTCCACATTCCTACGACGGGGGCGAGTGTAACCATGTGGAAACAATTGCTTTGGCGCTGGTTGCCCTTGAACTTTGTTACATTAACTGCAGACGCCACTGCACGTAATGCTATTTGCAGTGGCGTCTGCATTGCATTGTGTAATCACTGTTGACTTCCCACACAAAATGGTGCTCAGTTTATTTACCCCGGAGGAATGATGGGCAGAGGTGACCCCAACCAGCATGCCTGGTCACACATGCACATATTCTAAAGTGTCCACGTAATGTGTGACCTCCCGCTGGAAAAAACGTTCGCCAATCTACGAGGGTAGATTGTGACGTTTAAACGAACCGTGGTATATTTGTAGGTTGCCCACGCGCTCTTTTTCAACGTGGCCGCGTGACCGCGCGAGCCGAGCGGCGTCACGACTCGCAGGCCCCCGTGCCTCGGTGACATCGCCAGGTCTAGGGTCAACCGGCGGGAGAGGGGGCCATAGGCCAACAACAAATTCAACACAGACACACACAGAGGGGGTCTAAATGCAGCCGCCATCCCACCGTGCATATACGGGGGACATTCGGGAAGATGGTGAAACGTGATTTGGGTGGGGTAGGGGGTGGGGGAGGGAGGTGAGAAGGGACACACGGGAAGGGCAAGGTAAAAGAGGAGCGCTGCAGGTGCATCGCCACAGCATAGCGGTGGTGGCGGTTGCGTTGGCGGCAGGCGTTACCGTGCTTGGGGAACATGATGAGGTACTCGGCGTTGCACTGTGGGCACGCCACCACCGCCGTGCCGTTGCCCTTCTGCTTCTCGTCCACCCAGCGCTGCAGGCACGTCTGGTGCACCCACTTGGTGGAGCCGCGGCACCGGCACGGCCGCACCCACTCGGCGGCGCGGTCGTCCTCGTCCGTCGCGAAGCACACCCAGCAGCTCCTGCACGGCACGCGGCGCACACCGCCAACGTTAACACGGCGCACACGCGTGTGCACACGCGCGTGAACGCAACCTGCACAGGGGGGGACAGAGCTTCGGGGGACACACTGCTGATGGAAACATTAAAATCGAAGTGCGAGTTTAACACGGAGGCTTTCGCGACCAATATCATCCATAATAGTGAAGCTAGTTGTAATTACTGGCGAAACGTCTTACTCAGATTGTAAATGTTGTGGCTTTGCTCTCCAACACACCGGTGTGCATTTTCTGTTTACGTGATAAAGCTAACTAATTGGCTGCGTCAGATGGTGGTGGGTTTAACGACACATTTATATATTTACGCGATCTAACCCAAAAAACCTGTATTATCGAAGTGTGAGCTCTGGGCATAGATTGGTCACTGCTCAACTTCAATTGGTTTCCTGAATCATGTGTATCTATACAGCACTCTTGTCAATCCACTGTTTGATGATGGACCCCTTTAACCTTGTGGGATGTAGGGGTTATATATGGCCATACTTCACCATGCTGGTCAGTGCAGGTTGGTGAAGTGGGGGGAACAGAACCAGATCAGATATCTTTCATTACTAATGTTGGCCGTGACCAGGAATCGCACTCAGGTTGTCGGGGCTCAGAGCGCTGTGCAATGAAATTGAACTCAGGTGGCCGGCCCTGCAGTACAAGTGCCTTTAGCATCGTGCCACCCTCCCCCTAAGTGCATGCACAACACACAGAGAGCGCACATAACCCACCAACGCGCGTCGGTAGACACGCAAGAAACACACACCACACGCATGTCTAAAACCACACCGTCATTCCAATTACCGACATAAAAACAAACAAGGAACACATAAAATACGGAGCACGCACACCAGCGCGTGCGCAAATGCACATGAGCGCAAGGGTAAAGTCAGGTCGTGGCTATTACGTCAATTTTAATGGGGCCCAATCCATCGTGGACAACGCTTCAAAGATGTCTCAAGTGCGGCGGAGGCCGGTAAGGAAGAACCGTCGGTCACTCGTGCCAAAGGTCGGGAGGCGCCATTGGGATGGGAGACGCACGGTGGCACACGTGTACACGCAGGTGCGGGCGTACCCACACCTCCACACGCACGCTCGCTCGCGAGACGAGAGACAGGGAGGCAAGCGCGATGGGAGCGTTGCCCACGGACGCACGACGAGAGCGAGCGCGTTTCTCCGGCGGAACGTTACCGCCCGTCTGTGCTGCGTGCTGGTCCAAAATCTTGCGGGCACATGAGCCAAGGTGAAACGGCGAGCGCCCTTGCCGGGGCCGGCGCGATGCCCTCGCGAGCGTCGCACGGCAACACGACGACAGCAAGTCACGCGTCTCGCAAACACATTCACGCAAAACGCGTAAAAAATATGTATCTTTAAAATGTTATAGAACATGAGATTTGAAAAAATCTGCCATATGCTAACTATATTAATTAAACTAAGCATTTAAAACTTGTACAAGAATGGAATGAGTCAATGTAATCGTGGGAATCCTCTTCCAACTATAGTATCAGACAATTACATTTTGTTGTGTTTAACCACCTAATATAAGCACCCAGTTTAAGCACTTGTAAACATTTGAAGTAAACATTGACGATGCTAAAATGCCCCGGGGATGCAAGGTGACTAGAAGATGGAAGAACAAAAAAAATTATTAAATCCATTTGTACGGAGCATTAAAGTGTGTATCACCTCGTCTGCATGGGTTTGCTCTGCGTGTTCCAATCTCCTCCCACATCACTCATTGTTTTGGCCACACATCCCAGTATAGAACCCACTGAATACAAATCTCAAGTGTCAATGAGGCTTTCCTGGATAAACAGAGAGCATTATTATTACGTAAATATTAGTGTACAGACAGAATTACAACCTCAGCAAGTGTTAAAAAAAAGGCACGACATTGCATCATTTACTGCAAGGCTAACCTTCACCTCCACTAATTCAAATAAAAAAACACATGACATCCTGCATGATCAGCTATTTATTGGCCTTTATCGAGCCAGAGAACCTTCTAACCTAAACACAGCGTGTCACTGCAAAAATCATAAAACCACAATTACACGCCAAAAGAGCGAGGGCTCTTTTTCGATGGAAACAGTGCAGGTGAGAAGTGACATCACTGAAGCAGGGCTAAGCCACGCGACATGCAAAACATGTTCAAAAGGACAGCTTATAATAGCTACTATTGTCAGCAGAGAGGTCCTATGCCACGGCGCTTATCGGAAGGTTCCTAGTTCAAACCCCTATCGGGGATTGAAACATTCTCTCATTCACTTGGTGGGAGGCCAACAGCAGTAGCCATTATTTGAATGGACTGGTCACTGCCATAGGAATGTGGAATCGGCGACACCACAGGCAACAGGCCTGGCAAAAGAGACCTGGGCCAATGCTGGTGTGAGCACTTAAGACTTTTGATTTTGAAATTATCACAGCTGCTGCCCAAGAGCATTAGTTTAACATTCAGGCAGATCTTGGCCATAGCGGCCCTTGACTCGGAGTCACTGCACAGCCTCTATGCAGCACATCAATCGGCTACGTGCAAAATACAGCATTTAATTCATACGCACCCAATTGGTAACATTCCAGTGGAGGTCATGTTTAGATGCTGTGTACGAACATGCGTACATTGAGTAAGCTTGCTCAGCTTTTTTTTCGCTCAAAGACTTCCGGATGAATGGAATAGTCTGTCAGGGCAAGCTCAGTAAAACTGGAAGACAATCAAAAGAACCATTTAAAAAGCGGTAGGACTTGTTCTTGGTAAATAGGCTGCTTGGGGGATATGGTCAACGCACTCGGGCAGAGGAACAGTAAGGCTTCTTGTGTCTATTGGGCATTAAAGACGAGCAGCCTGCAAGAGCCTCGCTCATAAAGGGACGACCCAGAAGGAATGAATGGCCTTTTTCTGGGTTGCAAAACGATCTAATGCTCTAATGCAAGCGCTCATTGGTATGTTCACCTTGAGAATTGGGAAAACGGCCAATGTGACATTAAAACAAAGGGGGGGGGGGGGGTGGAACGTCTCTCGCTGGAGCAGTGCGCGCGCAACGCTGCCTCAATGTTTCGCGGCACAGAGCTGAGAGAGAGAAGGAGACGAGGAACGATCCGAAGAAGGCATCGGCGACAACGTTGTGCGCGAACAAACCCATCTGAAAAAAAAAAATCTATTTTCGGGAATCAGTTTTTTCGTAAGTTTAAATCACCCCTAGCTTTATGCGTATCAATGTTCATTCCCCCCCTCCCCTCTTCTTTAAAGCATTTTAAGGGAGCGTCTGTGTGTGCAAAATCATGAAAAGATGCGCGACTCGTGAGAGCAAGGAAACTCTCCAGCGTGGGCGAGTGGCGGCCGATTACCATTCAGAGCACAGTGGCGTCGAGAAACCAGAAGGGAATGACCTTAACACGTCGAGTTGATAATTGCGCTGGCCTTACATTGGCATATTTGCTCACGGTTTAACGTTCTGCTGATGAGCCGTACTGAAAAACATCCTTAAACTAAAACGAATCAGTATTATTCTCGGCACATTGCTGCACGGCACGCACTCGGTTTTAAAGCCGGCGGGTGGGGTTGCTGATTAAAGAGCACATGTGATATATATATACGCTGTTTGGATAGTTGCATGAGGCACACAATTTATACTCCAGAGTACAGAACCAGGAAATTTGTTTTCTTTAGTTGCCCCTCCTCTCATCCCCGCGGTGGAAGGATGCAAGCAGGCCTCCACAAGTCAGAGTGCATCATACACGCACACTCGTTATCATCATCATCAAAGCTCATCGGATTTCTCCAGGATAAATACCGATTCTGATGATTCTGACTATTTGTTGTTGTGGGGATCCCTTCCATTTAGCCACAGAAATATAAAAATAAATGTTTCAGTCCATCAGCCTAAACATAGGCTTTCCAGACGAATATTATACCAGCAGCATTTTGCTTTAGCAAGCCAACTCTAAGACTGGTTTAGGTATTCTGGATCTCACGAGCAGAGTTAGGCTTGTTAAAAAAAAATATGCTGCTGGAGATCACAGACCCAGTAAGCGAATGCTTCGAACGAGAGCGTCTGCCTATTAAAATGCAAACTCGTGCCCCCCGTCAAGGTGGTGCAGAGACCCTATCAAACAAGTGCATCAACCATCTGTTAAATTGTGGCAATGTCAAGAGAAATGTCCAGAAAACGTCCCCTAGATTAGGTCAGTGTGCCCCACATGTCATAACCATCTTTGGAAAGAAGCCCAGAAATAATAAAAGTCCCCTTGCCAACTGCTCGCTGGGGCTAAAATCTCCCACGCTGAGTCAGGGAGGGGGGGGACGTCTATCAGAGCCAAATAGCCGCGGTATTACACCGGAATGGGCTGTCGCTACAAAAGGCACACGCGGTGACGATCAGAACGCATGGCCGAGCGCGACGGAAACTTAACATCGCGCAAAATGCGCTCCGTTAAAACAAAAAAAGGTGCGACACCGACACGCGGAGCTTCGGAGAGCAATGGTGGTGAGCGTGAGAGCTCTAATTGGAGAGCAGCTGGAATCGGCAAGATTGACCGATTGGCTGAAAGGGGTTGGAAGTGACTGGGCCAAATGATTTGTAACCTTGCAAATCATAGCTACTCCCGTAATAGGTGTCGCCCCCCCTGATTTATGTCCACTGCTGGATGACGGTCCACTCCACGCTGTACGGATCGTGGGGGTCAGTTGACAGCACTTCGCCAGGCCGATCAGCGTGGGCTGAAGGAGGACGGCGAAGATGCGGGAGCATAGAAGTGGAGCATGACAATAGCTTTTGGCGCGCTGCCCTCTGATGACCAGCGCGTGGGGCCCATGTGGGTGCCCCGTCCGGGCATGATCCAGGCTCAACTCGGCAAAAAACCAAGCATGAAATTAATTCATATTTAAAGCTTTCGTCACTGCAGGGATTCATATTCTTGGTTCTTTCGGTAAAGTCACGTAGAAAGGAAATCATATTTTATTATTATTTTAATATTTCCTT